ACCAATGAAGAATACACAATGATTGACTGTCTCAGTCCATCTCACCACCCATGAAGTTACCGTGAAGTGTGCCTTTAGGTTCGGAATTCCCCATTTTCTCAGCCCTTCTGAAGAGGTAGGGCGGCAAAACGTTAGCCATAGAAACTCACTATCTTTGACGAGCTGCTGTACGTAACTCATTAACAAGCCACGGAAATCCGTTGAACTACCAGTCGTCTTCGCCGCCAAAAGCCATCCTTCCAACAACGATTGTTTGACTGACGCAGAAACGTTACGTGGTACTGACGGCAAAAGTCCAGGCCTGAAAAAACCGACAATGGCTCACTCAAGCTAATGCCAAGATGATCGCGCAATGCCACTATTACCTGACGGCTTGACTTACCGTTTTCGTCGCTTCAGTAGCTTTCCTATCGGTCCATCGGGTAGCTCATCGGCTTCGATGGAATCGCAGAGCTTCATTAGCGGTGACATTGAATCCACTATTTGCCTTAAAGCTACCATATTACTGTATGAAGTTGATCTAGTGCAAAACTCTTATACTGAACTTTGAGAGCAGTGCATGCGGGTGGGCCCTTACTGCCAGCGTCGTTGGTGGACGGTCTCAGCGGGTGTGACCTGCTCTCGCAGTCCAATGACTTGCCAGTAACGGCCCGCCTCCAGCCATCGTGCCCACTGCCTTTGAAATGAAATTTTAAACCAATTAGCTCAATCAGTTACTCCCTCCATCCAAGGTCGCTTTCAAACCCAACAAGAGTTGGGGATCGGAAAATCGAAGAACATGTAAAAGGGATAACATACGTATCGATTGATTTCACCTCACCCAGATGGTAAATGGGCGAGGACGAATAGTTCCCGGGGTTGACCAAATATCAGTGGCTTGTCTAAGGTAAGGGATGGAACAAACATGGGTCATTAGTGGTAGTTTTCCTAAGTCTATTTCTGCTTCCTATCAGATGGATACATATCGATCGGCAGGACCGGGGAACTGAAGAATCCGCTGTGGGGCTTGGATATGAGGTGATTTCGCCGATTATTCATTTTTCTAGGCACAAGTTTCTCTACGTAGATTCTCCGATTCTCCAAATAATCCCTGGGGGTCGAATCAATCAATTTGCATTTTTTCTTTACGCGTATTCTCTTATTCTTCTGAAAAGTGAAGTATGAACGTGGCCGCAAGATACAATCGGAAACGAACCAGCAATTCATGTCCTGTGAAAAAGTGAAAATGTTCCCAGTTGAGAATCCTAACAGAGGTATTCCACTTGAGGTTACTGATATCGACATGAGATTTGCATCTGAATTTAACATTTGAAATCAATCAAGCACCGTCGGTTTAGAACCATAGTTGAAGATTCATGCCCGTTTTTGATGCTATGAACATCTCACCGCATAGTGAGAAAAAATCGGAGAGCGGATACGTTCTCGGTGTATCCTACCACGATTTTAAACATTATTTCGGCACAGGGGCAGTCATTGTATGGCCGGAAACAATCAACCATTACGCCTTCTTCGTTAGTGCGCAACACCTACCTTAAATAAGAGGAGCCAGCCAATAAGAAAGCTGCAATGTTTGACTGTCTCCGCCATCATGAACAGTGTGGACTGTCTTAGTGCAGAAATTACGCGCTGGACCGACCCAGCCGTGAGTCTCATCCAAACGGGGTCGAGCATCGTGATATGTGAAATAGCCTCGACCCTCCCCCCTCTCCTCTACCCCCCCCCCAAGAAATTTCCTCGTCTTGAATCGAGCTCCTTCCCCATCTCCGACCAACCATGTTCCCAAATTCTCTCAACTTCCTACCATACCACCTTTCGAGTTTTCAAAGCACTTTTCCAGGTCCCCCCCCCCCGAAGGGAAAAAACAAAAAAAAACGACATCGAGCGAGGAAGAGGTATATAGCCCAACAAAATCGGCGAAAAACCAACTACCGAAAAAATTCCTCCCGCGGGTCGGAAAAAACTGGAAGAGTTGGTTGCGGAAATTTGTAGGGAAAAAATAAGAGAAGGAAAAGACAAAACTTCACGCTAACCTTTTACAACACAATCAGTGATTGATTGGCGAGATATTATGGCCTTGATCTTGTCGATATCCCTGAAAAAAGCTACGCAAGTTCCGACAAGATGATCACAGCAATTACTGCATTTTAAATCAACGGAAGTGGCGCCTCGTAGTGGAGGAGTTGAAGCTTGCTGAAGGGTGACCTTTGTGGCTAGATACACATTCCGCGATAGTAACTCGTATGCATTAGAGTTGAAATATAAATTTGTAGGTGTTAGTTAGCTCATCGGAGAAGAAAAGGGCGGGAGAAACCCTTGAAAACGCCCCAAAATAGACCTATTTGGTTTTCAGTATTGCATGAGCATCCGGTAGATTCAGACGCAGAGACGCTCAACTAGAGACTAAACTAGCGAGAGTGAGCGCCACTCACACCAGGTGAGAAAAGCGATAGCAATTGAGAGAAGAAATAGACATGGATAGAAAAACTACTACAACTGTTATAGCAACAGTTGTAGTAGCACTCGTACTTCCATGGGCATCGATACTCGAAGTGGGCGGGATTTCCAATTTTCGCAAGCTCTCAACGCCTTGCAACCCACCCACGAGTTTAGGTGGCAAAAGTGATATACCCTCAGGGACTGCGGAACCGCGCTTCTCATACATGGAAAATGCCCCACTTTCTTAAACGAAGAAAAGACCCCATCCACACAGGTTATCGCCAAAAGTGCATTCAAATATTCCAGAACCTTATCTGGCAACTCTAGCAGCCTTCTGGGTACACTGGGGGCCCGGAGGCCTCCTTCAGTGCCCAGACTTGGAAACAGTGCACAAAACAAGATCCTACCATGTGCTTAAATGCCCTGTTTGCGTGAGCACAAACATCTTGTGGCCGTTGATCCCCATTCGCACTGGCGCCGAATCCAGCTGATTTCGGAAATGCACTTTGCCATTCTTGCTTGAGTACACGAAAATACTGCGATCATAGCATCCGATAATTGTCCAGAACCTGGTCAAATAGAACTTAAAAGGTTTAATTACAGTTTACAACATCAAAGAACAGGGAAAGTTAAAAGTTACATATTGATCATGAGACCTGGAAAACCTGAAAATCGCAGATTCTTGAAAAATTCCGGTGGGGGGGGTGGAAACCAGCCATGGAACACTTTTCGCTAATTCTTCGGAAGAAATTGCAGTATGCGAAAATACCTGCTTAAATCGTTGGATACTACGGTCAAGGCGGTTCAGGCCAGGAGATCCGAGATGCGGCCGCGCGGCGCTCCAGTTGCCGTCGCCTGCACGGTACATGTGGGTTACAGTGAACATAGATCATGACGCAGCTGCGGGTGACGCAACTCGTGCTTCCTGACCGCACGGCGAACCACGCTGCTTATGCAAATTGAAACTCGCGGTAGCGGAGCGACTACGCCAGGTCAGGTATTGTCTGTACGATCCCTCTCACTGAGTCAATTTTTGAAACAAGTTTGGAATGGTTTCGGACATAGCTAACGCGTATGAATTATCGCGTGTAAGAATGCAGAAGAGCAGAAAATACATAATTTCACTGTTTAGGGTACCGCATCGTTGTCCCTTCGGGGGTCGGAGGTCGTACTTGGTCGGCCTGAAGGGGGGGGGGGGGGGTCATATCTGGCTTCGAGACTTCCGGTGATCGATTTTCCTCGTCCCACGCATGCTAAAATCCCTCTGCTGCGCATCTGAAGCCAGTTTTCGGGGGGGGGGGGGGGGAAACTGAATTCTTTTAGAAATCGGTGGTGAGCTGGAATTTGGTAAGAAGCTAGGTGCGCTAGGTGGGCAGCGAAAGGGCAGGCTTACTGACTCCGCCAAGCCACCCATCCCGAAGTTGTCTCCCGATGGTGCTGCCTGTGTTTCCCCTCAGCTACCTTGTCGCAATTTCCTGGTGGGCCAAAAGTCATTCCGGCCGAGTCACATATGAGCGAAGTTTTCGCAGCCCAGACAGAGGAAGTGGATATGAGTACCAGGGCGGAAGATACCCAAGATCTTCCTCTATAAGCAGGAGCCGGCTGCCGCCATTCACCTTCATGTACACCAAAATATGAAGTCATCTCCAGTCGCGGCCTGAGTGGAGAACGCCTTTGGAATTCACGTGGCCTCCAAACAGCTGCGGAACTTCTTGAATGGAATCACCCATGGATAGCTACCTGGAGACCAGTACTCTTGATCTGCAAGACCTCAAACATCGAGCAGCTCCGGCAACGTCGCTACGGTCCAGGACATCATCTTCACCCCATTCACCAAGGCGCGGGTTGATGGTGTGGACCGGCCGTACCTGGAATGGATGAACCGATATTTTCTTCGTGGGCCCCAGACTGAGGGTGTGCGCTGGTGGCTACATCGAGCAACTCGAGGAGAATATCCCATCTTCATGTCGTCGCCCGTACCTTCTTGGAAACTTTGTACTGCTACAGGATTGGGTGACAACACATTTAATCGAAGGGCGTTGGAAAAACTTTCGCCTACTTGGAATGGAAGAACGTTGAGTACCTGGAAAAGATGGAGTATTTAAGCGGGGTCCTGAACTAAACCCCCTCAATTACTCGGTTCGGGCGGAGCTCAACAGGGTGGTCTACAGTGGCGGAGAAATCAACGATCTCGCTCAACTCCGGTACCCACTCACTTTCGCGCGGCCGAATCTCTCGATGGCGCTCCTCCAGAAGGCTGTGGCGGAGTATCATTATAGTATTTAATGTGCTCTTTAATATGGTAGTAAAAATGTCCGATAAAAATTTAATAAAGTGTAACTTATAGCGCCTTGAAAGTCATGGAGGCAAAATGACTTTTTTTTGCCCCCCCCCCTGTATGAATTACGTAGTAAATCTCACCGATTTGCCACGACTACAGCAACAGTGGGGGCGACTTCGACGCTCCAAATATTCGAATGAGCGTGCAGATAGGAAACGTGACTGGCTCGCACGCCATTCGTCACCCAGTCATTGTCCACCTCGATGGTGTCTCCCAACACCTAAAACAAAATAAAAAAGAACTGAGGTTGTAAATATTACAATTTACTCCCGAAGTCTGCGGACAACATATAAGTCCATCCTAGGGACAAATTCCACGATAAGCGGATGGACGGTGACACTTGAGTATCACTAAGCACCATGTAATCCTCATTGGTGCGCTCTTTATTCCACTACAGTCAAAAGGAAATATGCGCCAATGAGGGAGGCAGAAAGATGCGCCAACGAGGGAGGAACAAGATTACCGATTTCCGCCCATTTGGTTATCGTGGAATGTGACGTTAACCAAGTGAAAAAATGAAACAGAGGAAAATTCATCTCCTCAAATCGCATTCGACCCTATAGACACAAATTCAGTGTACTCCACAAAACTCACTCCTTGGACTCCTTCACTGATAGTGGCTCGTTGTTCTGGTACCTCCAGAACAGCATTCGCTTGGGTTACATCGATTCGTATAGAATCTACTGGGCGAAGCATCGGTTTCTGAAATAAAACCAGGCCTACTCAGCCCACGGGAAACCACGGATTCCACTGAAAGTTCACCTTGAAATCAGCCATCATCATTTTCGTTCTTTTGCTTAGTTCTTCAAGCTCAGCTGCTTCTTTGTCTGCTTTTGCGCCAGCATCTACATCCGAAGAGTCCACATCATCATCGGTGCTTTCTACCATAGAGTCATCAGTTGACGCCAATCGGCCCAGTGATTTCGAGGGCGACTTATCCCTAAAAGTTGCCTAGCCTAGCTTGCTTATAGAGTGCAGACGTTTTTGGAAGAACATTTAATCCCTTTAGGTCTTGAATAATTTCTGGGATATACGTGCAAAATATGAATAACTGTGAGCAGGTGGGAGTGATACTCTTCATAAAAACACTCCATATCTCGGGAATGAGGAGGGCGTGGCTGGTACTTCAGTTGAACAGGCGGCAGTCGCCTTTTCTCGGGATGCTGCCGCTTTGGAACATTTGTAATCCTGCCTTCGCCTTGCACGTTGTAGGATGACATTAGTCCTAAAGGGAAATATCTCGCAAAAGACGTGTCCTATGCCACGTTCAGAAGAAGTACGCTGGCACGCCCTCTCCATCTTCGGGATATGGAGCGTACATTAGAGATACACCTCACTATAATCGAGTATCGCAACCGTTATGACTTACTCATTAGTACCCCATTCTCCTTAAACTCTAAAAAGGAAGGAACCGTCAATGAGGAAGGCTTCATGGTTGTGAGTCCCCGCCCCTGGTTATTGCGGACTGTGAAATGGGAGTTATCGAGGGAAGAATATTGGGGTGGCCCAAAGAAGAGATAAAGTCTCGAAACCCACCGCGCCCCAGCATCATCGGAATCCGATGGCATTGGTTCGTCGACTTGATTTGAATATCTGGAATTTCCAGTTTCAAAGAGAATTCAAAACATTCGAAGATCTCAGAAACACCTTCTCCATCGCGCTCATCGCTTCGAGAGTTAAGGTTAATACGAGTATTTCACTTTTGAATAGATCATAAGATTACTAATTTGATCTAATTTAATAATTTAATCAATAACTTGATCCACCGTAACACAAGTTAATAATTGCATAACTTCGTTACTACGCCTCCCGAAACTCCCACCATCCTATCTAACTTCACCGAAAGTCGCCGTCGAGCGGGCATAGGAAAGAAATCCCTGTTCACTATTGGAAACGTCTGCCGTTCAGTGATGCTAACAAAGAATATATTGTGCGCGTGAAACGGGAAAAAACCTCAAATGAAACAGATTCTCTCACTACTAAATGTGCCCCCCTCCCACCGCGGATAGGCTTCGCTTGGCGTTGCTGCACCCTAAATAGCAATCTGATGGCTAAATATGCTATCATTTAATAGATAATGGAATTTACATGATAACTGAACAATCAATGTTAATAACCTGACAATTAAATAACAATCAGATTCAGTTGACATAATAAGAAATGATAACAAAGTGAATATGTACATAAAGTAATAAAGGCAGGCTCTGACGCTGGAGGAATTTCCGCTGAACGCGAGCCCCCTCCAGATTTTGTCCCCTATGACCCAATCTCTTAATCCATAGATGATAAGTGGTGAGTGGGTGGCGGAATGCGGCAACTCTTGAGGCAGAACCTCCGAATCGGCCGTCACAACTTAGTCAACTTTGTGGCGCGCGGCCAGCTAACAGTGCGCGGTGAAAGCGGGTAAAATCCAGAATCAGAATTGGATTCTTGCCGCAAGATATTTAGCCAAAATCTTCAGTCGTGCGCTCTCCGTGACCAAATACGAGCCCTGTGCGTGATAACCAATGGTTGCCCTGGCGTTGATTGGATCTTTGCGTGAAATAATATTCAATGTTTAACTTACTGGGGCCTTCGTTTGTACAGGCAGGTGGTGCCCGGAGCGGTTCCCATCATCGACTGCTTGATCCCAAGAAGTCGGCTTGGTATTGGCGGCGCTTCCATCAGATTGTGCCGAACCTTTATTTGAAGCCAGCATTTAGGAAAGAGTCTTAAAAATTGAAAAAGAAGTAACAAAAACCTAATTAATGCAGAACGATAGAAATTAAGGATACTTCCTAATGATGAGTAACTGAGTCGGTCTTCCCAGTGAGACCTTTCCCTCCTTTGCTCTAAGATTAATGACTGATTAGCACCTCTCAGATCCCAGCAAAGAGATCCCGCTCATCTGGTTGGGTGGGTAGGAGAGGCGAGATGATCAATGCAGAGCGATTACTCTGCCCAACATTTCATCAAGCTTTGCCTGTGCTTTTGGTGCTTATGATTCTGTTGCTGAAAAACGTTACAGATCTGATCCCAACATGACAGGACGCGTTTTTGACGAGGTGTAGATCGGAGCACAGCTAACGTAGCCTCCCCCACCCCCTTATCGGTGCAATAGACCGCCCTGGCTGTATATTAATCCCCGCATCACACACACCCACCATGCAGGGATCATATCTGTATACCTCAAATCTCTTGCTCACCTCCGTCTGTTGCTGCCTCTGTTCCGTCAACGCTTTCGAGACGGCACGCTGCGTTGATGTGGCCGATTCCGCAGCCTTGCTAGGAGTCTCTTTTGGCACTGCTGCTTCCGCCTAGACATTCTCCATAATCTCTACATTTTTACAGCTATCAATATATCAATTAGAGCAACCTTTCTGGTAGCCATAAGTTCTTCTGGCGAATCAATGAAGGAATTCGTCTTCGTCGGAGTATCTACCGACACCCCATTACTATATAGACATTACAGTATTGAGCTGGTCGGATCTTGTATAGCGACTCGCATACATTGCCCTGAAAATAGCAGTTTTCAAGAGATTCGCGTTTCTTCTTCGGATGAAAGGATAAAGTTTTCTGTGCAGATCGAACAACTGCTTCCAGATGCGCCACGCGTTCTACTTTATGTTCATAATTGCGATGATATTTTCGTGGCGATTTCGCCGACAACATGACTCGCGGGGCCGGCAAAAGTAGAAGTCAGGGGTTTTATCGTTAGAATCGTGCGCTATGGGTGGAAGTAGCCATCAGTCAGCTGGCTATGCTAGCGTGTTTTCTGATCAGCATTCTCGCACTTCCACATAGGTCAAGTGTTTACTGACTTCCTAAGTAAATGGTAAGGCTTTTGTTGGCCCGCGCCGGGTCGCACCCGAGACTTTGCAGTGACTAAGCGGCCACGCTGGTGAACAGCGCCGCTTCCACTGCGCCAAAGCCGAGCTCACTTGTTCATTTCAGCTGCCACAGAAGTTCACCAAGCTTCACCAATAAGTGTCTCTTTGTGAGACCTGCTATTTAACAGAGAACGAAAGAGACTAGCGAGATGCCAAAATGCCCCCCTCGAAGCCGAACAGCGCAGAATTATGTTTTGGGGGAGTAGCTTGCTGACGGTAGGGGATGAAATCTTTGTCCATATAAAAAAAATAAATAGGGAACAAGTGATCAGTACTAAGAGGAAGAGTATTACCTAGAGCATTACTGCTCACATTATCGCGGCCACGCCTTTGCAGAGTAAGGGCAAGCAAATTGATTTTAAAAAATGTGACGCAACTTCCTCCTGATATTAGCAAATAAATAATGAAGTAACATTAACTCACCATTTTTTGTGGCGATAACATAGTGCCGAGTTCTTTCTCTCGAAATGATAGGTATTTAATGGAGCCGTCCTGAGATGACACTACTAAATCCGTGCCACGCCATGACATATCCGTTACGGAATGTTTAAACAGACGTTGCAATACTACAACGGGACGTTTCACTCGTGGAAGAACCCACACTGAGAGCGATTTGTCGCGTGATCCAATTGCTACGCAAGTTACCTTGAGAAAAGAGATATACAGGGAAATTGATCAAATCGATTCAAAGAAAACATCAGCAACGGAACCCTTCCTAATTCCTACCAGAAGACCTGCAAATATCATCCCTTAGCAAAATAAAAGTTACCTGGATAGTTTTTCCACTGTAATCCACATAAGATAAGAGACAGGAGGGCATGTTATCGATTACCGTTACGCCTATAAATAATCATATTTCAAACTCTAGCACTCACCTGACTGTTCCTCTAAGAGGAGAATGGCTCAGAGTATCAAATAGTACGGGGGGGGCGGGGGGGGGCTTGCCAATACGCGTACGGGCGGCCCGCGGCGGGGGGGGGGCGGGGTCGCGCGGGCCCCGCGCCCGGGCGCGCGCGGCTAGGTACGGAGGCACGCTAATGCTATTCATAATATTACCTTTTCACTTGTAAATCGGACACTTTTCAACATCGACTACTAATTAAATCGCGTATTCTACATCTCGCCTTTTCAAATCAAATCGGACACTTTTCAAATCAAATCGGACACACCCCTTACAATTAAGTGGTTGATAATTAGACCACACTAGGTACTGTTGCAAGCTCCGCCCCATTATCCCCGCCCATTTCTCAGCAGACAGGGTTTTCCGAGATGCTTCATGAAATCTGCTCCCTCGGCTTTTTTTCGATTTTGCCCTTTGCACACACACTTCAACTGGAGAAAGGTTGGTACTATACAGATCTGACTCCGCCCACTTAACAATGAAGTTACGTAAGTTCTGAATTTTTATAACTTTTCCGACGTAGTTCTTTTCACATCCAATCTTCACAAAACGAATAACCATGCACAGCACACCAGGCCCCGCCCCTCTGACCCCGCCCACTTGTGTTTATCGCGGAATTTTGCTTTTTCTTCCGGATTTTCGCTTTTTTAGGCTTTAGCGATTGGCTCCGCCCACCAATGGAAGCTCCGCCCACTTTGGGGAAGCCCCGCCCACTTTTCAGAAATGATGCAAATCGGCGGGCTAGTGTCCGTTCTGGCGCATTACGGCCTCTCCCGGCACATAGAATAAAAAAAGGGGAAAAAAGCGGGAAAAAATGGAAATTGTAAATCTCCGAGTTAGGGACACTTAGTTGATCTTTGAAAAGGATTGGACTGTTCCGATTTGGGTTTGAAAGTGTCCAATTTGGTTTGTGAAAAGTGTCCCGATCCAAAGAGGAAAAATGGTATATCCATTGCAAGCTGCAGCACCGCGGTCGCTTCAAATCAACTCCTTCGCTACATATTTTACTCAGCAAATGAAGCAACAGAGGATCGGTCGTCCATTTGTGGGCGGGCGGGGCGGCTGGATGCGGCTCCACGGTCGTATGTCGCCAGCTTGATTAGGGCCTATATAAAAGAAACTTGCTTCGGAGAAGCGCTCCGCAGAGCGCTGTCAGCCTCGGTGCGCGGAAATCCGTGCAGCTAGGGTCTACTAATCTACTCGTCCTTAGGGCTGTTCTATCCTGCCAACTTCCTTTGAAAAACACTGTGATATATTTGAGTCTAGCTAGGATATGTGGACGCTTGTGGAGGTGTGGAAGTCAGTAAAAGGAGAGGTGAAATTGAGAAATTCTTCAGCGGGAATAGGTGGCATGAGAATTATTGAATCTGATGTTGTATCTCCCAACCCCTCTCGCCTCTCCCTCCCCCCTCCACAAGCAAAACCCTCTATAAGTTCGGGATATGGAGTGTATGAGTGCGCAGAAAGAAAAAAAATAACAAAAAATAACGGGAATCCTTGAAACTCACTCGTCGATGGCCCACCAAATCAAGTTCCGTGTCCCAATCCTTGCGCATGATGATTTGAGCGGTAGGACCCTGATTGTTCATTGCGCACGGTGCAAAGAGAAATTGTCCATCTGGTGACCAATCGAGACGTGAGAACATTGTGGTCTTGACTGCTCTGAAAAGTTCAGCTAGTGGTATCGAGCGGATGTTGGAGATCATATCCTCATTGTGACGAAGCATACAAACTAGTTAGTGTTTCCTAGCTAGTTGACCTGACGCAGTGGAGTCCACTTCAGATTATTTAGGATCTGGTGCGAATGTCGCACATGTGACGCTGCTTCCAAAGCTAACGATTTCTCACCTGACTGAACGGTTTCGTAATCACCGTATCACACTGCCAATTGTCAGTGGTCCATAATCGAAGGGACTAAAAAAATCACCATGAAATTCATACAACCTGGACCACTATTCCGAGCTTTGAAATTAACCTTATCAGCTGATTGTGTGGCCAAATACTTCCCTATTGGATCCCAGCTGAGTCCTTTCACCGGGCCATTGTGTCCACCTCGTGATGTATCCAGTACCACTATCCTCTCTAAATTAGCAATGTATTTTTGATTGCTGTTACAGGAGTGAAAAGGTGACTAATTATGTCAAATTGTAAGGACTGTGGAGCAGTTCGGCTTGGTGGGGGCCGTGAACGGTACACATTCATCCTTGTTCAAGTCACCTTGCGAAAATCTACAGATTCTTCTAACTAAAATGGCTCATTTGTACCATTTTTAAGCACCTCAAGGGTTTACAGGTCTCACCAACATGTGACCTGTCCGTCAACATGAACTAGTAAAAAGAACCAGCGAAAGTGCGGAATCCCCCCCCCCATCCAAAGCGCCTAACAAATCTTTAAAAGTTATTATTGGTATTTCTCAGATATATCGGATTTACTGAAAGATTCGGTATGTCTTTAAATGCCAAATGGCACATGTGAGCAGTAAGAAATTTTGGACAAACAAAGGGAATCTTATTATGAGCTGAGAATCTTCCGACTACTGGAGCGGTAGTGCGGCGCAAGTAAACTTATCCTTCCATGCCTTGTCACCGAGACAGTGATCCTTCCCCCCACACACATGCGGTAGAGTGCCAACGACAAGAGTGGGCCCGGCGCCAGCTAGTCTCGCCGCGTTCCACCTCCTAAGCATGGCCGGCTCCAGTTTCTGCTCATTCGGACCGCAGTGTGCGACTATACTCCTGCATCTATATCGTTTATTTTTTTCGGAATGGACAACTAGTAATTTCATCTGTTTCCTTTACTTTCTATGAGATATGTGTACTCTGTATCTAAAACGTGTTTTGACAACTTTAGACCATAAACAAGATCCGTTTTAAAAGACACATGGTACGCTCAAACACATTAAGGGTGTATGAGACTAACAGCCCCCCAGCTGTCGATGTGTCGTGGTTTCCCCGCCCGAAACTGCACGGGGTTCCTAGTACGGGACCGTGGGAAAGGCTTATTCCTTGCTACACCGCCCAAAATGCACCGCGCGCAAGTTGCATTTCGCCGCGCGCAAGTTGCATTTCGGGCGGCGTAGCAAGGAATAAGCCTTTCCCACGGTCCCGTACTCGGACCCCCGTGCAGTTTCAGGCGGGGAAACCACGACACATCGACAGCTGGGGGGCTGTTAGTCTCATACACCCTCAATGTGTGTTTGAGCTACCATAGTGTTCTCTAAACCATATTGAAACGTGCCGCGAAGAGAAAAATCTATGACACTCCATGTGGTCACGGTCCGGAATCGTGTTAAAGTAATTTTCATGGGTTGGAGGCTCGGAAAAATTTCTGTCAAGAATAGGTACGACTCGCAGCGACCACGTACGTTCCTATCGACTAAGTTCGACCCCGCTCTTCTCTCCAGCGACTAAGTGCGATCCTAGCCCCTCCCCCCATGTTCCATCCCCAGATGCACTGCTGATACCTTGGCCACGACATCACCTTCTAAGTGGGGGAAGGGTAGGAGCATGAAACAACAAAATCAACAGTCTACAGTTCCTTAACAAGCTAATCATGACATCTTGACAATTAAAATAAGAACCAAAACACCGTTATTGATGTGTCCTCTCCAGATGAACAATGAGCTCCGTCTCAAAAATTACAAAAAGAATGAAGAAAAAGAAAAACAGAATAACTGTTATACTTTCTCGACAAAAACTCGCTTATCGCTGTGTGGAAATAACAACCTACATTTTGGATACTGTTTATTCTCAGTGCTTCTGAGCTTACTATCACGTACCCGGTAACTTCTTTGCATTCCATACGACTACAGTATTATCCATTGAAGCCGATGCCAGATAGCGCCTGTCACTCGACCATTCAACGCTCAATACCTGATCAAAACATACAACCCATTAATTATTATGAAAATCGTGAAAATCCATCAGAAAAGTACCACAGTACCTCCATCGAGTGGGTGTGTAGGGTGTGTGTTAACCTGTATTTCTCCACATTTACCACCGATTTGCTTCCAATCGAGCCAGCCGACTGCACACGGCCACCTTTGAACAGAAAACGATTTCTATCGAAAAATTGGCACTGTATTCGAACACATGTACTACAATAATAGTAGAAAGGGGATTAGTGAGGCGCTCGGCGTTAACCAGTACTAAGCCCGGGGTGTGCCACGCATCGAACATCCACTCACGATCGTTTTCCTACTTGGGGGGGGGGGTGTTTATTTGGCCTTTTCAATGGGAAGCCATGCATTCCACTTCCCTTCATAATCGTACGGAGTTTTGAATGCCACTTACATATATAGTGACTTCCAGGGCTAGCCGAATTGCAATAACTTTGTTCTTCCTTGGTGTATCCGGCCACGACTAACCGACCGCGGATGTCGAAAAAGCTTATTTCACCCATTCTAAATTTGCCCGTGACCTAGGCGGTGATAAGCGTGCCTCTTGTATACTAACTGCACGCCCGAGTGAGATATAGACACGGCATTTTGCCGTTAGGCAAAATTTCCACATAGGACGACCCATCTCAAAGGTTCCTTCTCTATGCCAGCCTTCCCTCCCCTCTCATCTACCGTTTCCCTAAATTCTCCCAGCTTTCTACCGAAACCTAACCTGTCGCGTCGACGCGTTCGCGGCGACGCGACACTCCCGCGCGCCCCACCTAAAAAAGCTGCCGTCGAGCGGAGGGAGGAGCATATGTGGAAAGGGGTATGGGGTACATGATGCAAGTAAAGCGGGAAAATCCGAGAAAAGTCAACAACCGAAATCATTCTCTCAAAGGCGAAAACGACCCCTCCTTCGCTCCAACGACCAAAGAAGACCTACCCATTGGGGGTTCCCACGCATGACGTACCCTAGGTATAGATACGGTTGTAAGAAACTCTGTCACATACCGTATTCATAAATGGTAATTACTTTGTCATCAGATGCACATGCCAATAGGTCTCCATCGTGTGACCAACGTACACAATTTACTCCGGCTAAAAATTGTAAACTAAAGTAAGTCACGGCAGAAAGTTACCATTCAAGTAATAATGTGGCCTGAAAATGGAATTAATTTCTGATAAGCTCATCTATTCACCTTGATGTTGTATCCTCGCCAGAATTTTGTGGCAAGCAGTGTCGGCGTAAGCTCTCTCGCTTTGAATTGGACGAAGGTTCCATATGATCACCAGACCACATCCTCCAACCTGAAAGAGAGACGCACTTGGCGCAGTTCGGTTCCGTGGAGGCATCAAATTGTACTCGGATATGCTTGCACAATCCACCTTGTAAAGACACGAGAATTTCCGGAAATAAGCGTGAAAGTGCAAAATGCCCCCTTCCCACTGGGTTGAACGGCGGCACAATGGTCTTTATTTAATGATACGCTCGGTAACGAACAAGGTAGATACAAAGGTGGGCGATAGGAGGATGATGCCGTCGTAGGTACCTCATGATGAGTAGAAAACGGGTAGTGTCTGAAGTACAGCTGATATTTGAGGGCGGCAGGAGGCGTGATCGCGAGATGGGCGGGTCCAGAGGAAAGGGAGGCAAAAATGTATAAAAGGAAAAAGCTCATGGAATACGCAGCCACGCCCCTTGCTGACCTCCGATGGACGATTTCGTTGGAAGTGTTATACACTGTTGGCGACGTTTCTGACTCCACCAATAGAAAGTGCTTGGTGAGGCCTTATCTGTCGTCAGTCAGTCTTCCCTCCGACTAACAATGATTAACGCGAAAACGTTAAACAGCTGTTTCAGAGAGGGTTGAATGCAAAATGTCCTTCACGAGAACGAATAAAACGTTCAGCTGGGACTGTTCATCGTGTACT